GTATACATAGTTCACAGTGGCTGTGAAAAAGGTCAAGTTTAATCTTATTTGATGAGGCAGTCTACGTTTAGTAACCACAGTATTATTTAGTTACTCTTATTTTTATTTAGATACTCTTATTAAATTCTTATTTAAATTATGTAACTGTTACATGCCATCAAGTTGCCTGCAACTCATAGTGACCCTAGATACAACAGGTTTGAATCCTGCTCTATCCTGAGCCAACTTTACTGTCTCTAACACACCTATCTCCTTCACCCCAGCCACTGAGTCAATCCATTTCATCCAGGGTCTTCCTTTCCTGTGCTGTCCCTTGACCCTCCCAAGCATAATGTGCCTCTCCAAGCATAATGTGCCTCTCCAAGAACTGGTTCCTTCTTGCAACATGACCAAAGTATATTAGATAGAGCTTCAGAATCCTTGCCTCCAAGGAGAGCCTAGTTTCACCCTCTCCAGAAGAAATCTGTTTGTTCTCTTAGTAGTCCATGGTCTATGCACTACTATTCTCCAGCACCACACCTCAAAGGCATTAACTCTTTTTCTATCATCCTTAGTCACTGTACAGCTTTCTGAAGCACATAATTATTTAGATACTCTTATTAAATTAAAAACTGCATTTAAGAATGATCTAATGTTCTTGTTCTCTTTCAGTTATTATTATATCCTCATAGTGTCATTATCTTAGATCTCTCAGAGTAGATATCTGACTAAAAATTTTCAAAAATTTCAGAGTACTTGTACTTTCAATAAGAGGAAATGAATTAATATTTATATTTTATATACCAGTCATTTATTAAAGAAGTATATTGGCTAAGTTATTAATTTCCTAAAGTTAATATTACACATCAATATACAAAATTATTCATATCTAAATATTTTATGGGCATGAGTAAGAGAATTATTTTAAAGCATTTCTATTACTTTCGGTAAATAAAATAATTAATTATAAGCCTCTGTTTGCTTCTATTTACAGATTCAAAAATCAAGTGATGTCTGGGTCCTTAGAGGTTATTTCAGTACCAACTTCTCTTTATCCCAGCCCATTACCTGAGTATTCACAAAATACCAAGAGGTATGATATATTAGAAAATAATATCCTTAAATAACAAATTTCACCTGGGTAAATACTGGGACCAGCATCTAATAGATATAATTTCAAATACAATAACACGCTAAGGCAGCAACTGCTGTCTTGTAAGAGCTAATCATGTTTCCCTATGCTGTTTCCCTACCTTATTCATTGGCATCAAGACCGTTGTGATCATGCTCATCGGCATCAATCTAGAGCATGACACTCACTGGTATCATGCTTTTTGGTATCAATTTAGAGCATGGTTTCCCTACTCTGCTCATTGGCATCAAATTCATAGCATGAAATTGGCCATGGTAGGAGGATTTTGACCTGGAAAAGAGCAGAAGTTACACGTCAGGACTTCACTGCTACCCCACAGAGCCAGTTGTTAAGTATTGACCAGCATAACACTGGTAATTTATACTCATACAAACAACAGTTTCCTTCTAGCATTGTTGTAGTTGTTAAGTGCCATCAAGTTGAGTGTGACTCATAGAGACCAGTAGATCTGAAACCTATCCTACTCTGTGCCATCCTTATTCTCCACAACGCAGTTGAGCCTGTTATAACAGATGCTGTGTCAATTCATATTGAGAGCTTTTCTCTTCTTTGGTGTCCCTCCACCTTTCCAAGTGTCACTTTCCTAAGTATAGCCTCTTCTAACAACATTTTTGTCTAGTGAGCAGAAAAAGGTATTAGGGGACACAGGGCTACAAAAGTTTCTCTGAAAGGGCCAGAGGGAGTGAAAATCACACAGTCCCTCACTGACCCAGAGAAGAAAGCAGATAAATAGCCCATAGCCCAACCTCATGGTGCCTCTAGAGCCACATCAGCAGCAAAAATTTGTTTATTCACTGTTAACTCACAGACTCACAGTTTTGGTACTGGGAATGGGGTTTATTTGGAAAGTCAGTTGGAGAGAAGAAGAAGCAACGAATATCTCACAATGTAAGTGCAAGTTTAGTTAAATCTCAGTTCAGTTCAGTAACATAAATTCAAGGAGTCTCTTGTTTCTTCATTCATCCATCAAGGTTTGCAGTTATAAATCGGCTTCTGCTTCAAGCATCTGGCAAGAACAGCAAAATTTTTAACTGTGGCCAGCACAAATGCAAGAAGCCTTGTCACATTTTCTCCACAACAATGCTCCACCACCATCAACAGGGTCTCACCATGAGGGTCTTCCTCAAGTCTCACTGTCATAAGGCTTGCTTATTAGTGTAGGAAGCACTCTTTAGTTTACTCAAATCCTACAGCTGTTGATAATTTGCAATACCATGTGTTCGCAGTTAAGGTAGTTGGAGACCAGAGGCAGCTAACGGCTAAAAAAAAAGCTAACTTTTTGACTACCACTATGTTGTTGCTGTTATTATGTGCTGTCGAGTCGCTTGCGACTCATAGCAACCCTATGTACAACAGCCCTAAACTCCGCTCTGTCCTGTGCCAATCGCACCATCTCTGATACACCCATCCTGATTACCCCAGTTACTGAATCAATCCACCTCAGAGAGGGCCTTCCCCTCCTGCGCTATCCCTCCACCCTCCCAAGAATGATGTCCCTCTCCAAAGACCGGTCCCTCCTTACAACATGTCCAAAGTATGTTAGACGGAGCCTCAGAATCCTTGACTCCAAGGAGCCACCTGGTTTGACCCTTTCTAGGATCAATTTGTTTGTTTTCCTAGCAGTCCATGGTACCCTCAATACTCTTCTCCAGCGCCACAGCTCAAAGGCATCAATTCTCCTTCTATCCTCCTTAGTCATTGTCCAGCTCCCTGATGCATAACAAATGATTGCAAAGACCATGTCCTGTATCAGATGCACTTTAGTCTCCAGAGAGACACCATTGCTACCACTATAACATCCGAAAGATATGAGATGAAGCTTTGCCATCCTTGCCTCCAGGAGCACTCTGGCTGCACTTTCTCCAAGACATACCTGTTCTGTTGGCTGCTTATGAGATATTCAGCACTCTTCTCCAACACTACAAACAACCCGAATGCATAAATTCTTCTCCTGCCTTATTTATTTATTGTCCAGTTTTCAGATGCAGGCACACATTAGTCTTCATTGTTACTATTCAGGACTTTGCCACGATCCCTGAAAGATTACTGTTTTAATGCTATATGTTTCCCAATCTCCTGACTGCTGGTACTAAGAGTATTGACTGTGGATCCAAGAAAGATGAATCATTGACAATTTCAATATTTTCTCATTTATCATGATGTAGTCTAGTGTCTCAGTGGTGAAGACCTTTTCTTTTCCTTGATGTTGAGATATAATACATATTGAAGTCTTCAGTTCTTGATCCTCTGCAGCAAGTGCTTCAAGTCCTCCTCACTTTCAGCAAGCCAAGCTGTGTCATCTGCATATCACAGACTGTTGAGTCGTCCACCAATGCTGATGCACACTCTTCTTCCTAAAGTCAGCCTAGCAGATGAATTAATATACAATGTGATGAATGCATAGTGAAGAAAAAAAGCAGAAAAAAATCCTTGAATTATAGATCATTACACCTATATTCCAATACTAGCTTTTTAGTTTGCTGGTCATTGTAAGCAGATGATTTAACCATTTCCCCTTGACAGTTTTACATTGTGTATAATAAAATCTATGTTATGTATTTGGAGAAATCTTCCTGATAAAATGTGATTGTATTTGTCAACAGACATTAAAGAATTAAAAGTTTTATATGCATACAAATAAATTTAGCTTGATTATATAAATGGTAGAGTCATGTCAACTACAATAATTTAATTCCCCAAAATACAATGAGAAAGGCATGTCACAATGCAAAAAAAAACCAGTATTTTACCCTAGGAAACCTACTAGCTTTGTTTTGTTTTTAAATTATGAAGAGTACATCAGGATCTGGAGAGACTGCCCACCTTTCTTCCATGGAGCAGCAGCCAGCAGACTTGAAGCTCACACATTTGGGATTGCAGCTCAGCTTCTTACCACTAGGCCACCAGAGCTTCTGCCTAGTAGCAGGTGTTTCTAGTTCACCAGCTGTTCCATGGGAGAAGGATGGGCAGTCTCCTTTTGTGCGATTAACTGCCTCTGAAAACCTGCCAGAGGGTGGTCAGCTATGGGTTGGTTCTGAGTATGTTTTTGGTACACAACAACAACAACAAACAATATCAGGATCTAGAATATTCCTAAAGGAATTCTGTATTGTTTTTAATTAATGATCCTACATTATACCCAGTTTTTTCACGTTGTAAAGCTATGAATCATTCAAGACTCTCAATCTTCTATGTGTCTACCACATATATCTATTAATATCTATCTATGAAGCCAGATTGCTCCTTGGAGGCAAGGATTTTGAAACTCAGTCTCACATACTTTCGGAATGTTGCCAGGAGGGACCAGTCCTCAGGGAAGGACATAGTACTTGGTAGGGTAGAGGGTCAGTGCAAAAGAGGAAGATCCTATAGCAACAAAACCTTGCCTCTCAATAATCACACTGGCTGTAACTATTTCAATGCACCACTGAAAAGAAAAAGAGTAGCAGATTGGGTAAAAACCCAAAATCTATCAGTATGCTGTATACAAGAGATGCACCTGAAAAATGAAGATAAAGAAAGACTAAAAGTAAAAGGGTGAGGAAAAAAATAAACCAGAAAAAAGCAGGAGTGGCAATATTGATTTCCAATAAAATAAATTTCAATGCAAAAGCCATCATAAAGAACAAGGAAGGTCACTACATAATCATTAAGAGGTCAATAGAACAAGAAGATATAACAATAAATATCATAGGTAGATGGGCTGATTTCTGGGTTCTCAATTCTATTCAGTCGATCTATGTGTCTGTCATTGTACCAGTACCATGCTGTCTTGACCACCACGGCAGTGTAGTAGGATATGAAATCGGGGCGTGAGATGCCTCCTACATTGTTTTTCTTTTCAAAGAAGGCTTTTTTTATTCGGAGCCTCATTTCATTACAAATGGAATTAGAGATTGTCTTTTTCATCTTGTTGAAGAATGAAATTGGTATTTGCATTGAATGGTAAATTGCCTTTGGCAATATTATCATTTTCACAATATTGAGTCTTCCTATCCATGAGCAAAGTATATACAATTGATTTTTGAAAAGAGATGAAATCAGTTAAGTGGGGAAATGACAACCATTTTAACAAATAATGCTGGCAAAATTGGAAAACTACCTGTAGAAAACTCAAGCAAAATCCACACCTCACTCTTTATACCAAAACAAACTGAAAAGGGGTCATGGACCTAGGAATAAAACCAAGGACTATAAACCTCATTAAAGAACAGCATGGAAGAACTCTAGAAGTCCTAATCAACAACATAAACAGTCTTCCAAGCATCCTGAAAAACCTACAACCAGGAGAGGATAAAATAGGTGAATGGGACCTTCTAAGAATTAAATCCCTATGTACATCCAAAAACTTCTCCAACAAGGTAAAAAGGGAAGCCACAGTCTGAGAAAAAATATTTGACAATGACATGTCTGATAAGGGACTTATATTGAGAACTTAGAAAACATTCAAGCACCACAAGATAAAGGTAAACAACCCAAATGAAAAAAATGGGTACAAGATATGAAGAGACAATTCATCAAAGAAGACATTCAGAAGGCCTACAAACACATGAAGAAATGTTCAAAATCCCTAGCTCTGAGAGAGATGCAAATCGAAATAACTATGTCGTCTCCAATAAGAATAGCAAAATTTAACAGAAAGCAAACAACAAATTCTGGCGAAGTTGTGGAGAAACTGGAACCCTTATTCACTGGTGGAAGTCAGTATGGCGCTTTCTCCAAAAGTTGCAAACAGAAATATCATTTGACCCCGTAACTACACTACTGGGAATATATTCCAAAGAAACCATAACTGCCACCCAAGCAGATATATACACATCCATATTTATCACTGCTTTGTTTACAATAGCAAGAGTTGGAAACAGCCAAAGCGACCATCAACAAACGAATGGATAGAGAAGCTCTGGTATATTCACACAATGGAATACCATGCTGCATTAAAAAATAAGGAACTCATGAAATATTATTCGATATGGGTGACCCTGGAGGACATTATTATGCTGAGTGAAATATCTCAGTCCCAAAAGGACAAATATTGCATAGTGCCACTGTTATAAAATGGGACTGACATCAGGGTTGGGGGGAACCTAAGAAAAGAGGGGATAAATAGTGTGTATTGCTTTGAAACAGATGAGAGAGAACTATTTAAAAGGAATGCATGATTAGATATTATTGTCATGACAGGAGTCCAGAAAAAGAAATGCATATTAAAGTGGACTGTGGACTTGGGGGGAGGGGGTGAGGGATGGAGATTGTATAACAGTGAAAGAATTTTTTTTCCAAGAGAAAAGTGAATGAGGGGAAAGTGTAGGCAGGAAGGGAAATGTGCGACAATGAATGAATGGGGGAATTAAATAGAAAGAATATGCTCTTTTTTTAAAAAAGGAAGATTCTTGATCAGATAAATTGACTTAGTGACTGGGATAATGGAGGTAGATTTGTGGGAAACAGTGAACTTGCCTCAGGATAGGGCAGAGTCTGAAGGTACTGTTCATAGGGTCTCTATGGATCACAGTTGACTCAACAGCACATAATCAAAACAACAATAAAAAAAACACACAACAAAACCCCACACAACTATCTGTGCAGTGGGGTTAAGGTGGGAGGGGAAGAACAGGTATCATTTATTTGAGATGGTTGCTGGTTACCTTGTATTTGATTCTGACTTATGGTGACTTCATGTTGTTACTGAGATTCTATACAACACAACATAGATCAATTCAAGTTTTTACATGTACCATTTAGTGACTGTGATCACCCTTCTTTTCTTTGTTGTTCATCTATCATTAAGATAATCTCTCCCGGAACCTACCTCCCTGCCCACCACAACACACAAGGTTCTTATCTTATAATTTGAATTTTTCTTGTCAGTTTGATCTATAAATGCAATTCTTTTGAAAAAGCATAATGTTCAAATTAGGCCTTTTGTTTAAGCTAAACTATTCTGGGATATAGGGAGCTTTAGTGATTTAGTGGTAAGGAACTGCACTACCAACCCAAAGGTGATAGTTGTTTTGTACTGACCTATATTTGACCCTCCAGAGGGTTTTCAGAGACTGTAAATTGCGTGGGAGGAGATTGTCCTTCATCCCTCCACTGGGCTGGTGGTAGACTTGAACTGCATGCTTTGGTAATCTGGTGGCTTAGTGGTAAGGAATTTCACTGCAAATGCAAAATTTCAGTTGGAGTTTTCCATGACTATTCTACCATTTTGGATTTAGTTTGGTACTTCATAGCAGATCTACTTGCTTTCTCCCTAGTTTTAGCCTGAGGAGTGGCATAAGGCCTCAAAATATTTTCTTCTGTTATTCATAAAACTCAATAGAGTTGGAGCCAACTAAGTAACTAACAGCAACAACAATATCCCTAGCCAAGACGCTTCTCCTTCTCTCCGTAGTTTGACCTGAAGAATATTTTCTCATATGAGCTCAAGACCAAAGTTCCGCATGTAGCAAAAATAAACTTGTCATGCTCTGGTGTCTGCCGGTCTTGCCATCACCATCTACTGACTTTTTCAATCAGCTGTCTTTGTACCAAATGTAAAGTGGCAGACTCCCCCATGTGTCATGCCTTTGAAGCTATTGGTCCAGTGAACTCCTAGTCCCTTCTGCTCCCCTCTCCCAACTTACTATAAGATGCCCCTTATTTTTAATATCTCACTGTTCTAATTTTATTATTTTTTTCATCTTCACATACTAGAGCATGACACTCAATTGAGCAAGATCTACATTGTGTGTTGATTGTTCTTTGTTTCCAGTCTAGTATTTGCATTATAATATAGTTTGTTTATACTGTCATTTGAATAAGGCCTCAAATAAGAAAGAACATTAAGTTTATTATACAGATTAAAATTTCTGTTGTACATAAGGTCACTGTATTGGAATCAACTTGAAGGCACCTAAGAGCAACAGATAAAATAGATGAAGCTTACCTTTATCTAGCAATAATGAACTCTGTGCACAGAATGAAGATGGGGGAAACTTTAGTATAAAAATATTAATTTTTGCTTTATGTAGCTAGTACTTTGTATTAGTAGACTATAAGGGGGAAAATCCTATTTTTAGCTTCTATATTATGTTTATGCATTTTAAAAAATTGACTAGCAGATCTTTAACATATTTTATTGTTTATCATTTAGTTGGGAAATGAAGCAAGTATTGGACTTTTGTTTTTTGATGCTCTATGCAAGGCCTAAGGCCACTTACTATTTACAGGTAAGACTTTGGCACATATTTAAATTAGTCATTCTTGTCTTCTTCCCTCTGTTCCTTCATTTCTTTATTTTTCAATTTATTTCCTTTATCTTACTTTGTACTCAGAATATAATAAAATATTTTTTATGTTAAAATGCCAAAGGAAGATTAAAATTTAATTTTTATTTGTAAGCACTATTATTCTAGTCAGCTTGAAGTAATAAGAGTTCTTAGTTTCCTTCTGTCATCTATTTGCTGAGAACTAACAGATCAATCCTAGAGAGGGTGAAACCAAGCTGTTCCTTGGAAGCAAGGTTTTTGAAGCTCTGTCTCACATAGTTTGGGCATGTGGTAGGAAGGACCAGTCTTTGGAAAGAACATTGTGCTTGGAAAGGTGGAGGGACAGCACAGGAAGGGAAGACCCAGGATGAGATGGGTTGACTCTGACTGGAGAAATAGGATTAGATATGTTACAGACAATGAGATTGCTCAGAATAGGACAGTGTTCAGAGCTGTTGTATATAAGGTAGCTGTGAGTCGCAGGTGATTTGATGACATATAACAACAACCACCACTTTACCATACACATTACCTAAACATAGAACATAGAACTAGCTAGTCTTAAACTATGAACTAAAATATTTTTTGAGAATGGAAATATATTCAGATGAAGATGCTTTTTTTATTAATAATTTTAATGAACATTTACAGAGATTTTGGATTTCCATTCATTCATTGCTGCACTTCTCTAGCCACCCAGCCCTACCCCTCTCCCCCCAGTTCTCTCCTCTCTTTGAAAAGTAAAAGAAACACTCCCTCCCTGGTACACAATCCTCCCATACCTCTCCCACCACCCCAAGTACATTCCACTATGCAACCTTAATTATGGACTCTTGTTATAACCATAATACCCTATCATACATGGCTTTTAAATTATTCTCTCCATCTGTTTCAGTGCAGTATACACAATTTATCCAGTAAGATTTAGACTGAATGTCACATATTGGTGTGTAGAAAATTTTCTATCTGACTAATATCAAAAACAGAAAACAAAAAATTACTGTCAATAACTCTCAGTGAACTGAACTAAACATGAAATTATTATTGCCTCAAAAACATTCATTTTATACATTCTAGTGGCAAGATTTTCAATACTAGTTCAAATTAGTATAACTTGCTGCATCTTAGCAGTGGAGATATAATGCCTTTTTATTTTTATTTTTTTCCCAGCTAGAAGATGACATCACAAGTAAATATGCATACTTTACAAAAATTACAGAATTTGTACGAAATAGCACAAGAAAAGATTGGTTTTATGTTGAGTTTTCAATTCTTGGATTCATAGGTAAGCAGTGAATCTCTTTTGTTAGGTAAGATTGGTAGTACAACCACAACTGAATGGACTGAGGCACACAATAGAATACTATGCTGCACTCAGGAGCAAAAATTTTAAAAAATACTACATAACTTCGGAGAGACTGGAGAGCATATGCTGAGAAAACTAACTCACTAAGATACGGATAAATACTGCATACGACCATTGTTGTAAAAATAGATAACTAGTAAAACATGTTGTTGTTGTTGTTATGTGACAGCAAGTAGCTTGCAACTCATAGCAACCTTATGTACAAAAGCCCTAAGCCCTGCCAATCTTATTGTCTCCAACACACCTATCCCCATTATGCCAGTGATAGAATCAATCCAACTCATCGAGGGTTTTCCTCTCCTGTGCTGTGCCTCCACCCTCCCAAGCATGACGTCCCTCTCCAAGGACTGATCCCACCTTGTAGAATGTCCAAAGTATGTCAGACGGAGCTTCAGAATCCTTGCCTCCAAGGAGAACCCTGGCTACCTGATGGGGGGAAGGTTTAGGAGCAGAAGGGTAAGGTTGGGTAGGGGTGAAACCACAGGGTTGCACAGTTTGGTGGATAGAGGGAGGGAGTAAAGGAAATGGGAAAGATCCAGCAAGGAACTGAAAAGGCAGGAAATGGGTAATGATGGGCATAGAGCAGTGGTGACTAATTTTATAAAACATATGGGAATGATTGTATGAAACACAATGTTAATGAAGAATAGTGTGAAACACAATGTATACAAACATTGTAAGCAAATCAATGTTGTTATTATGTGCTGTTGAATAGCCTGTGACCCTATGTACAACAGCTCTGAAGCCTGCCCTGTCTTGGCCCAATCTTACTGATTCTAACACACCAACCTCCGTTACCCCAATTACTATTATCAGTCCATCTCATCTAGGGTCTTCCTCTTCTGTGCTGTCCCTTCCACGCTTCAAAGCATGATGTCCTTCTACAAAGATAGGTCCCTCTTCGCCACATGCCCATGTATGTGAGATGGAGCTTCAAAATCTTAGCCTCCAAGGAGAAACTTAATTTCACCCTCTCCAAGACAGACTTGGTTTTTTTTGTTTTTATTTGTTTTGTTTTGTTTTTTTTATGGTCTACTGTATGTTCAAGGCTCTTCTTTAACACCACAACTCAAAGACATCGATTCTACTTCTATCATCCTTAGTCATTGTCCAGCTCTCTGATGCACAAGTAATTGTGAAGACCATGGCTTGGATTAGGTGCACCTTAGTGTCTAGACTGACATTGTTGCTTTTCAGTGCTCTGGAGAAGTCCCTGACAGCAGATTTTATTTTGATTTTTCTGACTACTGGTGCCAAGAGTATTGATTGTAGAGCCAAGCAAGCTGTAATTATTAGCAACCTCAATCTCTTCTCCATCTATCATGGAGCTGCCAATTGACCCAGTGGTGAGAATCTTTGTTTTCTTGATATTGACCTTCAAGCTATGTTGAAGATTACAGTCTTTGACCTTCTACAGCAAGAGCTTCAGGTCCTCCTCACTTCAACAAGCAAGATTGTGTTATCTGCATAACGTAGGTGGTTGATGAGTCTTCCTCCAATCCTTATGCCACATTCCTCCTCATAATGCCCAGCTTCTTGAATGATTTGTTCTGCATATAGATTGGAAAGGTATGGAGCCAAGATGCATCTCTGACACACTCCTTTTCTGATATTGAACCATGCATTGTTTCCTTGCTCTGCTCTGAGGACTGCTTTCTGGTCCAAATACAAGTTTTGTATAAGCACAATCAAGCCTTTTGGGATTCTCATTTTCCTCAAGGTTAGCCACAATTTGTTGTGATCCACACAGTCAAATGCCTTTACATAGTCAATGAAACACAGACAGACATTCCTCTCATTCTCTTCACTTTCTGCCAAGATCCATCTGACATTGATGATATTGTCTCTAGGACCACAGCCCCTTCTAAAGCCAGCTTGTATTTCTGGTAGGTTTCTGTCAATGTTCCAGTCACTTCTGGATAATCTTCAGCAGGATTTTGCAAATGTGTGGTATTAGTGCTATTGTACAATAATTTCCACACTGTTAGGTCTCCTTTATTTGGAAGGGAAATAAATATGGATCTCTTCCAGTCAGTTGGCCAAGTAGTTGTCCTCCAGATTTCTTGGCCCAACCTGGCGAGCTCATCTAGGGCAGCATCTGTTGGTTGAAATCGGTCAAACTGTTATTCCATAAATTCCTGGGACTTTATTTTTGCCAAGTCCTTCAGGGCAGCCTAAACTTCCTCCTTCGTCATCATTGCCTTTTGATTATATGTTGTTTCTGGAAATTCTTCTGTGCACCAATTCTTTTTGGTATAGTGACTCTGTATACCTCCCATGTTTTTTTAATGCTTCTTAAACCATTCAATATTCTGCTCACAGCATTCTTAAGCATTACAACTCTCAGCTTGAATTTATTCTTTAGTTCCTTTAGCTTAAGAAATGTTGAACAAGTTCAGCTCTTTTGATTTTCCAACTTCAACTCCTTGAACATTTCGTTATAATACTTTGCCTTGCCTTCCTGAGCTGCCCTTTGAAATCTTCTATCTAGTTCCTTAACCTCTTGATTTCTTCCTTTTGCTTTGGCTTTTGGCACACTAGTGCAATACTCAGAGTGTCTTCTGCATCTATTTTAGTCTTCTTTCTCAGTTTTTATATTGACCTTTTACATTCTTCATAGGTGATGTTCTTGATATCTTCCCACAGTTCATCTAGTCCTTTTTCATTAGTGTTCAACCCTCAAACCTGTTCTTGAGTTGGTTTTTAAATTCTTCCTAGTCTGTCTTAATTTGGATGCTTAGTTTTAGAACAATATCTGACAGATAAACGTTTTACCAAAAAAGAGCAGATGAAAGACTCTTCCCTTACCGAAATAACCAATGCAATCATTGTCCCCCCTCCATCCAAGCATGTATATCTTGTCTCTTCCCTTTCCCTGCTACATCAGCATTCCTAATGTTGTTATTAAGTGCCGTGGAGTTGTAGACAACTCATAACAACCCTATGAACAAAAGACCTGATCGTTTCTCCAAGTTCATAGAGTTTCTAGAGGCAAACTATTTCGGAAGTGGATGCCACTCCTGCTTCCAAGCTTGTTTTAATCGGGAAGCTCCACCAAACACTGTCCACCATGGATAACCATTATGGCATTTGACACATCACTATCACAGTGTTTAGCATCACAGCAACCACAAGTTACCTCTGTACAGCAAACTAGCAGACCAATGCTATACTACTTAGAAGAATGTTTGACCAAAAACAATTAAGCCAGGCCAGAGGCCTGTGGCTCTTGGGCTCAAATGCATTTTTAAACAGGAGGCCGATTCAAATCAAACTTAAGTTCACCATAGAGTTTATCAGATAAATTACATCCAGATAGCAGCTGGTGTGGAAGTTAGTTGAAGGCTTCATGAGTTTGGATTGTCCTAGAGAGCTCACTCACATGCTATAGTTGAGCTGCTTGTCAGCTAGGAGCTCAACCTTTACCTGAATCTTCTTCATTGCTTGCACTTTCTCACATCATCACGGAGCAAGTGTCCTAAGAGACCTATACAGAAGCTACAATGCTCTTTGTGATTTAGCCTGTGTGTGAGAATGCTGCTTCTGCCATACTCTAATGGTTCAGCACATTATTAGGAGCCTCCTCAACTGCAAGGACTCTGGTAGCATAGTCCAAAAGGAGTTGCACTGCTAATGCAAAGGATGCCCCTGTCTGGTGATTCAGTCTCCTCCCGTGAGATTTAGTCTCCTAAACACCTGCTGCAGACTCAGTGGCAAGTTAGTTCCCACCCAATGGCAATGAGTCAGTCAGTCCAATGGCTAGGAAGAGAATTGGATTCCACCTCTCTGTGGCAAACAATTTCTGGACATGTTAATCTACTATCCTTCCTTCACTTCTACTTCAATGACCATTTAATGCTACCCAAACATCAAGTTCTTTCTGGACTCAGCAGAAAGAGAAAAGTCTACAGAGAAGATACACTCTTTCCCTTTAAGACATTTTTCTAAAAGTTCTACATAACCATTTCATAATCATTTGACTCCATCTAGATACAGTGGAGGATGGGAAACAGAGTACTTCAATAGAATAGCAATCTAACTTATGGGAAACTGGGGCTTTTTTTTCATTAAAAAGGATCATCTAGAAGGGTTAGCAAAAAAAGGTGGTGACTATAAAATGGGCTTAAGCACAGCAGATTGTGGAATTGGTTTGCCATGAATGGAAATTGACTCAATTGTGCCTGCCAACAATAGTAATTAAAGAAAAAATAGGAGACTAGTGGCACTTAGGAGTACCTTTCCCCCAAACTTTATTGTTGTTGTTTACTATCAAGTTGGACCTGACCCATAGCTGATGCTCCAGAACATTTTCAGAAGTAGTCATTGCACAGGAGGAGATTGCCCATCTTACTCCTACAGAAGCAATTGGCATATTCTAATTGCCTGCCTTCCGGTTGGAAGCACAACCCCTTCCCACCAAATGAATTATTACTATAGTTCCTTCAGGGTCACAGTCTCATTGAATAGCTTGATGCTTTCAACTTGTTTGACTTTACTCTTCTTATGTATAAGACTTGTCGTCACAAATATCATAAAACTCAAGAAAGGGCTTTTTATTGTTTGCTTTTATCTTTAAACGAATGTTTACTTTTTCTCCTTAGGAAAACTATTTAGGTCTCAGGATTTACCTGACTTTGTACGCTTCTTTTTAATGTTCTACAAAGTCAAACCCATAGATTTGCTCCTGAATGACATTTTCCAGATAAAGTATTGTAAACAAGAAGAAATTTTTGTAAGTATTTCTTTATTTTAGTAATACTAAATATATTAGAAAAATGTTTTCTATGTAATTACCTAAAATTTCTTTGTTGTTATGTGCCCTCAAGTCACTTGAGACTCAGTAATCCTATTACAAGAACCCTAAAACCTGCTCTATCCTGTGCCAAACTCATTGTCTCTGACACACCTGCTCCCACTACTCCAATCACTGAATCGATCCATCTCATCAAGGGTCTTCCTCTCCTGCACTGTCCCTCCACTCTCCCAAACAGATGTCCCTCTCCAAGGACTGGTCCCTCCTTGCAAGATGCCCAAATTATGTCAGACTAAGCTTCAGAATCCTTGACTCAAAGGAGCAGCCTGACTTCACCCTCTCCAGGACAAACCTGTTTGTTCTCCTAGCAGTCCATGGTATATTCAACACTATTCTCCAGCACCACAGCTCAAAGGTATCAGTTCTCTTTCTATCATCCCTAGTCATCCCTAGCTCCCTGATGCATTGCATGCAATTATGAAGACTATAGCCCAGATCAGGTGAACCTAAGTCCCCAGCCTGACATCATTGCTCTTCAGTACTCTGGAGAGGTCCCTGACAGCTGACTTGCCCAATGCAATTCATCTCTTGATGAACACTATTGCTGGTGCCAATAGTGTTGACTGTGGAGCCAAGCAAACTAAAACTGTTAAATATCTAAATCTCTTCATCATGCATACTGATGCTACCAATTTGCCCAGTGGTGAGAATCTTCATTTTCTTGATGTTGAGCTTCAATTTATATTGAAGCCTGCAGTCTTTGACCTTCTGCAGCAAGTGCTTCAGGTTGTCCTCAGTTTCAGCAAGCAGGGTTGTATCATCTGCATAACTCAGGTTGTTGATGAATCTTCCACCAATCCTGACGCCACATTCCTCCTTGTACAGCCCAGCGTCCCGGATGATCTGTTCTGCATACAGACTGAAAAGGTATGGAGACAGAATATATTCCTGGTGGACCCCTTCCCAATTTTGAACCACACAGTGTCGCCTTGCTCTGTTCTGACAACTGCCTGTTGGTCCAAGTATAGGTTTCACATAAGCACAATCAAGTGTTCTAGGATTCCCATTCTTCTCAGACTCAGCCACAGCTTGTTTTGATCCACACAGTCTTACTCTCTGCTTTCTGCCAAGATCCATCTAACATTATCTGTAATATCCCTAGTACCATGACCTCTTCTAAATCCAGCCTGCACATCTGGCAATTCTCTGTTGGCGTGTTGCTCCAGTCGTTTTTGGATAATTTTCAGGAGAATCTTGCTTTCGTGGGATATTAATGATATTGTTCGATAATTTCTGCACTCTGTTGGGTCACCTTTCTTTGGAATGGGAGAAAAATGTCACTTCCAGTCAATTGGCCAACTGGCTGTCCTCCAGATTTCTTGGCACAACTTAATGAGCACATCAACAGCAGCGTCTGTTTGTTGAAACATGTCAGTTGGTATGTCATCACTTCCTGGAGCCTTGTTTTTTGCCAATTCTTTCAGATCAACTTGAACTTATTCCTTCATCACCACAGGTTCTTGTTCATATGTTATTTCATTAAATTCTTCTGTGTCAGCCAATTCCTTCTGATACAGTGACTCTGTATACTCCTTTCATCTTCTTTTAATGCTTCTTGGATCACTTAACACTCTATTCAAAGCAGCCTTAAGTATTGCCAACCATGGCTTGAATTTGTTTTTCAACTCCTTCAGCTTAACAAATGCTGAGCGAGTTCGGCCCTTTTGATTTTCTGACTCCAGCTCTCTGTACATTTCATTATAGTATCTTGCTTTGTCATCCTGAGCTGCCTTTTGAAATTTTCTGTTCAGCTCTTTGATGTCTTGGTTTCTTCCTTTAGCTTTCGCTTCTCAGTGCTCTAATGCAATATTCAGAGTCTCATTTGATATCTTCTTGGTCTTTTCTTCCTCTTCAGCCTTTGTAATGATCTTTTGCAGTCTTAATGGATGATACTCTTGATATCCTCCCGCAGTTCATTTGGTCTATGCTCATTCATGCTCAAGGTCTCAAACTGGTTCCTGAGATGGTTTTGAAATTCGAGTGGGATAGACTTAAGGTCAAATTTTTGTTCCCTTGGATTTGATTTAATTTTCTTCAATTTCAGCTTGAACTTGCATTTGAGTAGTTGGTAGTCTATCCCATAATCAGCACCTGGCCTGGTTTTCTGGTTTTCACAGCTGATATTGAGCTGCTCCAGAGATTCATTCCCATTTCTTTACTAAAGCAAATCTGATGGGTTCATTATACGTTTTGAATGATTTTTAAATTATTAAATAATATGCTATGGAGTCAAAAGTGTACTAAGAAACTGTCAGTGAAGTATAGCAAGGTGTTCTGCAGTAGCAAGTTTGTTGAGAATTTGTCTCACATATTTTTGGCATGTTGTCAGAAGGGGCAAGTCTCTGGAAATAGGTATTTACCTTGAAAAAATTGAGAGTCAGCAAAACAAAGAATGACTGACACTGAGTTACACTGACAGTGAATGCAATGATGAGCTTAAGTACAGTGGAGATTGTGAGAATGGCACAAGATGGGGCAGGATTTACTTCTGTTTACATAGATTTATTATGAATTGGAGCTGACTCCATGGCACATAGCAACTCCCTTCTTTCAAGTGAGAAATAAGCCCTTAAAAATGAGAAAAAAATAGATGCTTTTTTAAGGAATAATGAGAATGGAGACATGAACAGAATTCACCTTTGCTAGGAGAACCATCTACTTCCACAACTTCACCAGCCATACATACATAAAGATTATCAAATATATCTTTTGCCAAGATTGTTCTGTTGAGTTTTACACTCATATATATGAATATATATGATTATTTAATAGAATTTTCACTAGCTAGACAAAAGGATAAAGACAGAAACCCACTGGACAGAATGGATAGTCTAAAAATAGAAACACAAAAAATGACTGATTCTTGGGCCTCGTGTAATTACAATTTTGAGGAACATTCTTCTCAGTGATGCAGCACTGGTCTGTCAATTTGCTGTACTGAAGTAACCTGGAGTAGCTGTGATGCTAAACTTTGTGATACTGGGGTGCCGAATGCCATAATGGTTACCCGTGGTGGACAGTGTTTGGTGGAGCTCCCAGATTAAGACGTGTTTGGAGGTAGGAGTGGCATCCACTTCCTAAACAAAATGCCTCTGCAAATTCTATGAACTTTGAGAAACCAAGATGGTTATAGAAAGACTTCAGGTCTTTTGTTCATAGTGTCCCTATGAGTCTTGCTCAACTCGATGTCAATCAAAAACAATAAATAATAATTTGACAAAGCTTTATTAGCAATTTAATGAAGATAATATTACTCAACAAATATATTCAATCTTACAGCTGTGTACAAAGGAAAAAAGAACATAAATCTCACAGTTAATGTAAAATTAATTAAAATTAGATAATCAATGTAAACATTAAACACAAAACTAAAACTTTAAGAAGAAACATATCAAAACATTTCCTGGCCTTAAGACCTTGGAGGATTTTAATCTCTGACCTTTTGATTAGCAGCACAACTTGTACCATCAGAGCTACTTACCCAAATGTATAATGCTTAAACAGTCCTCAGAGATTATCATCTCAACTGATTTTTTTAAACAAGAATGGTGTCACAAAAAAATCTTTTACATTTTTATTTCTAAGGATATTATTTAGATGATTTTCCATTAAAGAAGAAAACTGTAATTGGTACAATAGTGGACTGGTTTTCTAAGATTAAATTCATGAGAATATATGATTTAACTTACACTTTCTTTTATTCCAACTCCTTTGTTCTAGTAACTAGAAGAAAATGCTATGTTAATTTATTTTTACTTAATTTTTAAATGTGAAATTAGAACAACATAAAGCTAATGTAATAAAAACTGTCACCAGTAAATGTAATAAAAAGAATATTTACATTTTTAACAGAAGGCTGTTGTTTCTCTTCTTTTTCCCAGAGATCATGTTTAAAAAGAAATACACACATTCGTGTTAAATATAAACCTTCTCTTTTCCAACATGTGGGTATACATTCATCATTCCTTGGAAGAGAACAACATTATAAAGTAAGACTTCTAAAATGTAAATTTAGTATTATGTAAGAGAGTGAAAACAATTTGCTATCTGGAGGCAAGAATTTTGAAATTTCATCTCACAAACTTTAGGCATGTTGTTGCCAGGAGGGACCACTCCTTGGAAAAGAACATCATGCTTGGATGGGTGGAGGGACAATACAGGAGCAGAAGACCATGGATGAGATTAATTGATACAGTGACTAGGGTATGGGGATAGATGTGTCAGAGACAGTGAGGATGGGACAAGGTTCAGAGCTGTTGTACATAGGGTTGCTAGTGACTTGACAGCACATAACAACAACAATCTTTCATAACTTAGCAAAAAATATTTAGTATAAAAATGAAAACATGAGATACTATAAATTATCATTACTTAACAATAATTCATTTTATAGTAGAAATACATGCTATGAAAAATCGCTCTTAAATTGAGAAATCTTTTAATGACTTGTGTTTTCCACAGCGGTTAGAAAAATGCAATATAGGTAAACATTTGTCCTAATATGCCTAATTGTGCAAGTAAAATGATGACACTAACATGTGTTTTGAAAATCATAAGGAAACCCACTACTTTATTAAAATTATACAAGAAGCATCATATTTTTAAAAAAAGATTAATCCTATTATCTAATTGTCTACCAATTTACTTGATACCAGTAGTGAAAGAAATCAAGAGAATGAGCCATGAAGGAAGCCTCATCAATAACCTTCATTAGGCTGATGACACAACCTTGCTTGCTGAAAGTGAGGAGAACTTGAAGCATTTGCTGCAGAAGATCAAATACTACAATCTTCAATATGGATTGCATTTCAACATCAAGAAAACAAAAACTCTCAAAACTGGGCCTATAGACAACATCATGATAGATGGAGAAAAGACTGAAACAGCAAACAACTTAATTTTATTTGGATCCACAATCAATATAATTAAAACCACCATTCAGGAGATCGAAGAGACATATTGCAATAAGAAAGTCTGCATTCATGGACCTCTCTGAATTATTGAGGAGCAAAGGTGTTAATTTGAGGACTACGTCATACTTGGGAGGATGGAGGGACAGCGCAGGAGGGGAAGATCCTTTATGAAATGGATTGGTTCAGTGATTGGGGTAATTAGGGTGGGTGTGTCAGAGACAGTGTGATTGGCACAGGCACAGAGCAGGGTTTAGGGCTGTTGTACATAGGGTCACTATGAGTAACAACAACAACAACAAGGTATACCTGGTTCAGGCCATGGTTTTTCAATCACTTGCTATGCTTTTGAGAGCTGGACAATGAATAAGGATAAGAGAAGAAAAATTGATGCCTTTGAACTGTTGTTATCAGGTGCCATCAATTATGTATGACTCATAGTGACCTTTTGAACAGGGGATCTGAATCTCATATCGTGCCATCTTCAGTTAGAAAAGTACTGAAAATCAAATGAACTGTCAAAAGAACAAACAATTATGTCAAGGTAGAGAGAGTGTGGCAGCCAGGGGGAAGTTGGGCTCAGTTGTGCTGGGCACCAGCAAAAACAAGGACAATTTACAATTAAAAGAAGAGACCCAGGCAGGAAAGATTGCCACTAGGTAAATGTGGCCTGAGAATGCAACTTCATAGAGGTAATGGAGCCCTGTTCCCCTTGTTCTACCCCAGATAGAGAAAGTGCAGCAGTTAGGGGGAAGTTGGTCTCTGGCTGCATGCACTGCACACCAGCACCACCAAAGACAATTGCAAATTTTAGAAGAGTGAATGCAGGCAGAAGATATTCCCACAAGACTAAGTGAGATCTGGGAAGGTGGCTATGTATAGGTATCTGGCCTTGCTTCTCTCAACTCATCCTGGATAGGCAGAGTGCAGCACTAAGGGGAACTGGTCTCAGGCCACACTGTGGTCCACCAAGGAAAATTACAACTTTAGAGGAAGTGGGCAGCATTCAGGTGAGATTCCCTCACGGCTGCACTGCAGTCCAGAGAGAAGTTGAAGGACTTTAGGAAAGGAGCTTTTCTCACTACATAGCACCAGAAAGGACTCCTAGTATTAGAGCTGTTCTCCAACATAAAGGGAATACTTTAAGTCTGCAACTGATCAATAATATCATAAAGATAAAGAATTGTCAACAACCTACATAAACACAATAGAAACTACCTAACACATACCAAGAAAAACTTGACATAATGTCGAATAAGTGGCAGACAGCATCAAAGTTTGTGGAAAAGACCCAAAATTAGTGCTCTCCTAAAAAGCAGCATATTGCAGACCAAATGAAAGAGAAAGACATATATTGAACAGAGTCATATTAACAGCTACTGAAAAAGGTACAAATGATAAAAGAAAGAATGAAAGCTATAGATAAAGCAAATACTCCAGAGACAGGGAGCCAGAAGAAATATATCAACACAGAGGAACATGAACAACTATGGAAGAAACTGAAAAAGATAGACTAAAGAATTGAAACTATAGAAAAAGAGTTACAAAAACTTTAAAAATCATCACAAGATAGAGAAGGTGTAGCCAATACAGAACCGGAAATAACAGAAATACGTGAAAATGTAATCCAGAATATCAGATTAAAATTGCAGAAGTTTCCAACATAAGGAAGGGACAAAAAGAAGAACAGAAGAAAACATAGGGTCAGTGAGCTGGAAGAAAAGAATCTCAATAAGAACATACTAGAAGAAAAAAATAGAAGATAGGAAGAAAATATTAGAATCATGTGGGATAATATCAAAAGAAAAAACATAGATATATATGATAGGAATTCCAGAACACAGGGGGAACCGGAAAAGCACTGAGAAAATTGTGGAAAAGGTACTAGAAGAAAACTTTCCAGACATCGTAAAACATGAGGAAATCCACATTCAAGAAGCTCAGCAAACTCCAAAAAGACTAGACTCCAAAAGAAACACATGAAAATATAGTGAAATTCTTCTAAATAAAAGATAAGGATAGATTACTAAAAACATCATGAGAAAAACAGAGCCACCTAAAAAGGGCAATTAATTAGATTAAGTTCTGATTTCTCAACAGAAACCGCACCAGAAAGAAGACAATGGTATGGCATGTTGGTATGGCATGGTTGTAGGAAAACAATTGTCAGCAAAGGATCCTGTTCCCAGAAAAGCTGCCTATCAAATATGAGGGAGAAATTAGGTAATTTGCAGAAACAGCAGGAATTTAAGGAATTTTTGAAGACCAGAACAACTCAATAAGAAATTCTAAGGGAATTCCTTTGCATAGAAACACCAAAAGAAAGTGAATGAATCAGTAATCGGAAAAAAAAAAAAACAAAAAACCCAGAAAAAGAAATAGCAAAATGTCAGCAATAAAACCTGACCTGTCAATAATCACAGTTAATGTGAATGGCTTAAATGTATCAATCAAGAGCAAAAAGAGACCTGCACAGAGTGTCTTGGTGACACCTAAGCCCTGTGAGGTGCACCTGGAGTGTGGTGTTGGCTCGTGCCTGAGCATGCTTTCAGGGCCATGGGGCATAAGTTGGACCCTATGAAGAAGGAGAAGGATGGGCCTGACTGAAAAGCTCACAAACAGAAGGGTGCTGAGACAGAGCTCACCAGATTCTTAACCTGCAGATACTGGTGAAAATTCCATGAGGCTGTCTAGTAGACTAGAAAAAGGGCAGTCAACCAAAAGGAGGGTGGGATCTGTTGGAGCCCTAAATTAACCTCGTGTCTTGGGGCTAAACCATTGCTTGGAAAGCTACTAAAAGAAACTGTCAAGACACCTGGTAAGAAGGGGCCCCCACTTTTAAGAGGTAGTCGTCAGAACAGAGCAAGGAAATACTGCATGGTTCAAAATTGGGAAAGGTGTACACCAGGGATGTGTCCTATCTCCATACTTTTTCAACTTGTATGCAGAACAGATTATCCAAGAGGCTGGGCTCTATGAGGAGAAGTGTGGCGTCAGGATTGATGGAAGATTTATCAACACTCTGCGTTATGCAGATGACACAACCCTGCTTGCTGAAACTGAGGAGGACCTGAAATGCTTGCTGCAGAGGGTCAAGGACTGCAGCTTTCAGTACAGATTGAAGCTCAGTGTCAAGAAGACAAAGATTCTTACCACTGGACCAATTGGCAGCATCAGGATGGACATAGTGAAGAGATTGAGATTGTTAACAACTTTAGTTTGCTTGGCTTCACGGTGAACACCCTTGGCACCAGTAGCCAGGAAATAAAAAAAACATATTGCGATGGGAAAGTCTGCTGTTAGGGACCTCTCCAAAGTACTGAAGAGCAATGGTGTCACTCTGGAGACTAAGGTGCATCTGATACAGGCCATGGTCTTTGCAATCACTTGTTATGCATCAGAGAGTTGGACAATGACTAAGGAGGATAGAAGGAGAATTGATGCCTTTGAGCTGTGGTGCTGGAAAAGAGTATTGAATGTACCATGGACTGCCAAGAAAACAAACAGATTCATCCTGGAGAGGGTTAGACCGGGCTGCTCCTTGTAGGCAAGGATTCTGAGGCTTCATTTGACATACTTTGGACATGTTGTAAGGAGGGAGAGGTCCTTGGAGAGGGACATCATGCTTGGTAGGGTGGAGGGACAGCGCAGGAGGGGAAAACCCTCTATGAGATGGATTGATTCGGTGACTGGGGTAATCGGGATGAGTGTGTCGGAGACAGTGCGATTGGCACAGGACAGAGCAGAGTTTAGGGCTGTTGTGCATAGGGTCGCTATGAGTCGCAAGCGACTTGACGGCACATAACATCAACAACAACAACAACTCAAGGTAGGAAGCTCCCAGCACCATACCCCAGCAGGGATTAGGAAGAAGATGAGGGAGACTCTTAAGATGTACAGGAGCTCCTCTGGAGCTCTGAAGACAGTGATGCTGACATGGTAGATGACTATGGAGCAGATTCTGACTCAGAGGAAGGATATGATGGCGAAGAGTTGCTCCCCATTGAAAAGGGATCTAAGAAGCAGAAGGCCCAGGAAGCCAAGGCTGAGGACCAGTGGAGTAAGGAGGATTCTAACAAAGGGTAGGAAGAGGAGAAAGTGTCTTCTGAGTCAGGCCCCACAAAGGATGATGAGATGGATGGGGGCCTGTGAATCAATGTGGACGTTGTTTGTGCTGCCCTGTGCTGGAGGAAAATGAGGGTGCCGAGGCTCCAAACCCGCAGTGAGTGCACAAGTGGATCTAGGATATAATGAGAGTTCTGGGTGATTTTGGCATTCATCGGGAAGAAGGTCAATCAAGTTCTGAATATTTGAGCTGGCTTCAGAAGGATCTGGCCACTTTTTACTCCTACCACTTAGACCTTCTGCTTCGCAAGTTCACGGACCTCTTCCCTCTGAACTGGTGGAGTTTTTAGAAGCTCATGAAGTGCCTCATCACCCTGTGAACCAATACCTTGGAAACCCAATGTCCGGACCTTGCACAGGCTTTAATTAGTCATGAAATTAACACAGCAAGTGGTCAAAGACTGGACTGGAGGTGTATGATTCTCCAGTACCCATTAGTGTGACTCCCAAGTGCTTGGCTGGGCACTCACTACACGCTGCAGGGAGCCTCCAGCGCCTTAGCATCCCAGGAACATGAGCAGATCCTGGACGTGTGTTGTGTTCCTGGCGAAAAGACCAGCTACATAGCTCAGCTGATGAAGAACACAGGCATTATCTTTGCCAATGATGCTAATGCTGAGAGACTAAAGAGTGTTTTGGGCAGCTTACCTTGGTTGGGAGTCACCAATGTGGTCATCAGTCACTACAATGGGTATCAGTCCTCAAAGGTGGTTGGGTGTTTTGACCGGCTACTGTTGGATGCTTCCTGTAATGGCATTGGGGTTATCTCCAAGGACCCAGCTGTGAAGATAAACAAAGATGAGAAGGGCATGCATTGCTGTGCTCACCTTCAGAAGAAGTTGCTGTTAAGTGCTATTGACTCTGACAACGCACCTCAAGTCAGGAGGCTATGTTGTCTACTGCACCTGTTCAAACATGGTGGTAGAGAATGAGTAGTGGGTTGTAGACTATGCTCTGAAAAAGACGAATTTGTGGCTAGTGCCTACAGATCTGGACTTAGGTCAGGAAGGTTTTACCCATTTTCGAGAAAGGCACTTTTACCCTAGTCTGCATTCCACTCTCCACTTCTACCCTCATGCCTACAAAGAAGTTCTCCAATTCTGTCCCCCAGTCCCAGACAGGAGACTCTGCAACAGCCATCCCTACAAGCCTAGATTTATCGGACCTAAAAGGTCAGGTCACCCTCAAAGCTGAGAAGAGCAGCCAGCCAAGCAAGAAGTCCAAAGAAACTGAGAAGTCTAGGCAGAAATTGCAGAAGCAGAAACGTCACATGAAGGCCCTTTTCAGAAGCAAGAATGGCTCCAAAAGGACAAACTTGGAATTTTCCACCAAACCTTCTGCTTCTTCACGCATCCTCCAAGCTCCAGGATAGCAGCCAAACAGCTCAATAAGCTGAAGGCGAATGGGAAGCTAAAGTAATAATCACTTAAACTGAAGGCTTTCCTGAAAGCTGTTCTCCTGAAGCAGAATGTCCCTCTCAACAGCACAGACTCAGAGACACATGTTATCCCTTTTCAAGATCCGGACCATCTCCAAGTCTGAGAACCAGGGTCAGCCCCTTGGAAAGGCCACAGGGACTGAGAATGTAAAACAGCAGTCTCCAAAACAAACTTTCAAGAAAGCTGCCTTCTGGAAATAGAATGGCACCCAAGGGCCATCACATCACTTCTTCCCTCAGTCTCAGCTAGACCACACCAGCAAAGAGGAGGAAATCTCAGTCCAGAGGCAGTAGCTAGCAACTAGTCTTAGATAGTAAAAAAGTAGACTGGATTGACTAGTTTTTGTACTGGATTGGAGTGCTGTGCTCTGAGAGCACGGTTCCCCCCCCCCCCCACACACACACACACACTGTATCCATGTGAAATTTAATACACATTTGCAAGTTGAGAGAGAGAGAGAATGAATTAAAAAAAAAAACCCAAGCATATCAAGGTTGCCTACAAGAGGCATATCTAAGAAACAAGGAAAAAGACTAAAAATCAAAGGAGGGGGAAGATACCAAGCAAATGGTACCCACAAAAAAATCAGAAATGTCAATACTAATCTCTGATAATATATACTTCAGGATGAAAACCACTATAAAAGATAAGGAAGAGAGCTATGCAATGATTAAAGATGCAATAGAACAAGAAAACATAACCTTTACAAGATTTGCAGTCAACATTTAGACCCTAAGTGACAGACATGCAAAGTGCATAAAACAATGGTTAACAGATTTGAAGAAACAAATAAGCAACACTACCACACTGGTGGTAAAAGATTTTAATACACCACTCCCACCAAAGGATAGGTCAACTCGAAAGAAACTTAACAAAGATGCAGAAGATCTAAACTATACAATTGGCCAACTCAAACTTTTGACTGTATTAAAGCTACTGCACCCAACTAAAAGTCAATTTTCTTTCTTCTCCAGTACATACTGTACATTCTCCAGAACTGATCATAATTTGGGACACAAAATAAGCCTTAATGAATTTAAAAAAACTGAAATAACACAAAGTATCTTTTCAGACCATAGCCTATAAAACCACCCATGTGGAAGCTAACTGACACTCTGCTTGAACATCCAGTGCCACCAGGACCAGAATCCAGCCATCTTGCCCCACTCAGAATGGACACCTGCCCCCAGGAGTACTGCCCCCAGTACTCCCTGCCCACCAGCCCTATTTGCCCACATGCCCAGACATCCTGTGCAGCATGCCAACACCGCTGGAGAGTAGACTGATAATAAGCTAACAAGAGATTAGAGACCTGAGACATAGTAAGTTAGCTGGAGGGGACCGGGGAGGCAGGTGCTGGTGAGGACAGAAAGGGAACAGAGTAGAATCCTGATGAGGTTGGCAGGGGGATGGGACCACAGCACCTATGACCAAGGAGGGGGTGCAACACTGAATCTGTTAGTTGTGCAATGGGGAAGGATCTTTCATCTGTTCTTTTGGGTAGAGTGCTTGTCTATCAGATACTGCTCTAAAGCTAAGCATCCAGAGTAGGACAGACAAGGAAGAATAATTGGCCATCCACTTCTGAACAAATTGTTGTTGTTGTTGTTATGTGCCATCGAGTCGTTTGTGACTCATAGTGACCCT